GCTTCTGTAGGATAATTCTGATTAAAGACTGGAAACCCCTTTTCAGGGCAGCCCCCAGCGTGGAACGGACTCAAATTACCCACAAAATGAGGGCTGAAAGCAGAGGCTTCAGAGCCCCAACCCTGCACCCCAAATCTAGCATAGCAGAGGTGCACGATGCTCAGTGATGTTAAAATACAACATATGGCAGCAAATATAAGTAACTCTAATATTTGCTCCCCTCAGCAGGTAAAGCACCAAATAAACGATTTTGAGGTCCGGAGGTATCTGTGCATTCTTTTTATTTTAATCCTTTTGATTTAAATTAAACTTGCTTTTGTGAGGTAAGTTTTATTTTTACCTACTTCTCTCTTATCACATTTTTTGTGTCACAAATTTTCAGCATGAAATTTGTTTAGTGAAGTGAGAATCTCCACCAAGGAAATTATCCAGAAAACTTAGGCTGGATCCAAACACAAATAAGCCAACAATGATGCTACCAAAGAGGACGTCCTTGTTTAAATCAAATGTACTGCCCTCCTTGTCCAAAAGCCATCCAACGCTGGCCTGCAGGTGGGCAGGGCAGAGCTCTGAAGGAAAAGGCTCCAGAGAGCAACCTCAGCAAGCTACGGGATGCAGGGGCCTCCGGCGTCGGATTTCCACCCAGAGAGACGGAAGGGGTTCTCTGGTCTCAGTCCTGTTTATCGGTCACAGAGGCCCATCCAGGGCATGGCTAACACAGAGGCTTAATCTGACAGCTTCCTCGTGGCCCTCCAACAGAATATTTGATTGGGGTTATCTAGAGGAATAGGGCAAGAAAAAGGAACATAGAACTCAAACTTAGCCACCACTTCCACAGCACTTGTTTTCACAAGCTAAGTCAGCACAGGCGGTTGCTTCTAGAAGCTTCTCTGAAGAGTAGATCACCTGACATTTCAGTTTATTCTCAAATCACTTCTTGTTTCTCAGTACGTGGTGAAGCACACTGGAGCTCGTTTCAATGCCGGGACAGCTGTCCAGGCACGCTGTCCCTCCTAGTAAACGGTGTGAGAACTCTGAGAGTAGAGCTGTCTGTGGTTGACAAGCAAACTGCGGAACACGGCATGTCGTTCCTGGTGGGCATGCGTCCCTGGGTTTGACAATTGCTTCTTAAATGAGTATTCGATCTCCAAATGCCTGGGCTGACCCAGTCTCTGTTGAATGCAAAGTATAGAAAGTTCCAGAGTTGGAAGAAGGTTGGGAGGCTCTGTGGTTGGTGGCCTCCATGACAGGGGCGCTGCCTCACCTCGAGCAGTGTGAGCTGTCCCACCTCTGTGGGACGCCACAATCCACATGAAAGGACGGTCTGAGGAGAGCTGCGTGGTGCCAGCATCTGGGGTCCTCAGACAAGGCTCACCCAGGCATTTTTAGAGCAGGGAGGAGGCTGGTTCCAGGCTATACGATGCTGTCATGAACTAAAGGTTCTTACACCGTCCCTGAGTGCCTGGGAACTGGAATCAAATCCAGTGCAGAGAGAAGGCCTGAAACCTTATCTGATGGAGAATAGAATCCACTCATTCTCCAATGAGAAGAGTCATCCAATAAGAAGAAAGTGTTGATTTACTAAATTTATTAATACTAAGTAACATAGCAGAATATACTGAAAAAGATCAGGTTGAAGCTAATCCATCATATAATTTTAGAATCATCTACAATGAAGCTACCTCAAGGAATAGCAATTGTCCACTCGAGCAAACTAAGATGGTGTGTGTGTGTGTGTGTCTGTATCCCCATCAAATGAATCTGAGAATTTTCATTCGTTTTCTCCAAGGAAATTAAAAATAGCATATAGTTTACTAAAACCTAAATGACCACAGAGAAAACAGCTACAAGGACAAAATAATGATCTAGAACTATGGAACTTCAGGTAGATGAGATCTGATAAGTTATTTTCTGCTGTTGTCTATGGATGGCAATAGATACTTAGGGAGAAAAAATAATTTTTCACTTACAAAAGGCTGTTTTATTTTATATTTTTTTGTGTGTGAGGAAGATTGGCCCTGAGCTAACATCTGCCAATCCTCCTCTTTTTGCTGAGGAAGACCGGCCCTGAGCTAACATCCATGCTCGTCTTCCTCCACTTTATATGGGATGCTGTCATAGCATGGCTTGCCAAGTGGTGCGTCAGTGCGTGCCCCGGATCTGAGCCAGCAAACCCCGGGCCGCCGCAGAGGGGTGCACGCACTTAACCGCTTGCGCCACCAGGCCAGCCCCACAAAAGGCTGTTTTAAAGGTATGTTCTGCCTTCCCCCGTCAACACAAAGAAAGCTAGAGCAAATATTCTTTAGCTAAACAAAGAATCCAGCTTGCTGCTTCTAAATTCAAAATTTCAGTATGTTTTTTATTGTAGATAGTTCATATAAGTGTATCTAATTCAATGAAATAATTCCAAATCCAGCTAACTTGAATTATCTTTGTCTTTACTTTTATGGAAATTTACTATAGAAAGATATTTCATTTCTGTTTTTTAACATTTTTTAAACCATTTTCCTTACTAAAGGAAAATTTAATTTGTGAACCATATTGGTTTGTCGAACAAAAATTATGGTTCTTTACTTTTAATGCGTCTTCCAAGATACCACTATTTTCTTTTTGGGCCAGAAGTAAAAGAGAACTCTTTTCGTAGATTCACTTCTTGGGTACTCAGGCCTGCTGGAGCGTCAGTGGGCTTCACTCCCATCACAGACCAGCTGTTCCAATGGGCGAGAGCTCCCTCAGGTCCGGAGGTGCTCTCAGAGAGCTGGAGAGCTGGTTAAACACATATTCTAAGCCCCGCCCTCTGAGATTGATTTTGAGGTCTGGGGTGGGTCCCAAGAATTGGCCCCTCTAAGCAGCCCCAAGCTGATGCTGATGTGGCCGGTCCTGGGGCCACACGTTGAGTCACTCGGTCCCACGTGGCCCAGGAAGCTCACTTTAGCATCTTTAAGCCTGGGTTTTGGGATTCAGGTATGATACACCCACAGTAGTACCTTTATTTAAAGTATGAGTCAAATAATTTGTTCGTTGTGTTTTTTTCCTTGTAAACTCAGTAGCACATTGAAATTGAATTAAAATTACATTTTCCATTTGGCAGTAGCTGATTCCTTCACTTTGGGCACCCTTTTTGGAGCAGGCCGGGGTTTAAGCACACCAAGGCTGACCCACGATGGCACTGGTCACCTGGGGGCCTGGGAACCCCTGGTCAAAGGCACAGAGGAGGTAGGAAGGAGCCAGGAGGCATGGGGAAGCAGGACGCACGTTCTCTGCGCAGATCGACTCACATCCATCCTTCTTCTGCCTCAGCCATCTACAGCTTCCCATTTCCCACCAGGTCAGCACAAACTCCAAAAGCTAACATTCCAGCTTTCCAATACCCGCTCAACCTTCTTCTCTCCCACCCCCTCCTGGTCTGTCCTCGTGTTTTCCTCTGCTGGGCTTCTGCCCTAGGATCGTTATCACTCTCTTAGTGTAAGAGGAGGAATCACACCCTCGCACCGTTGACATTGGAGAAGCAGCATTCTGACCAGAGATAGGAACAGGGCTCAGCTCTGCAGTGCCCTCCTCTGCTCTACTCTCACGGAGGGGGTAACTGTCCCAGGGCCTCTGGCTGGAGAGCCCACCACCCCCTTTGGCTTATGCCCTGGCCTTCCTGTGGCGTTTAAATGCTAAGAGTCCTAAAATACTTTGATTTTGAGCCAATCACAAAGGCAGAAAAAAATTCCTCAACACCACAGGTACCCGCTCACAGGAAGTCAGCTCCTGGTCCAGAGCCTGCAGATGTTGCCGCAGACACACAGGGCAGAAAGGGCTTGTCACAGGCACAGACCAAGGCCCCAGAGGGAGTACTGTGTGGATCTGCTGCCAGAGCCCTAGAGCTGAGGATGCAGAGCTTTTCTCAGATGTCAGCAGGAGCAACGTCCACGTGTAAGGAGCAATGCAAAGTTCTGTCTCTGTGTGTGGAGGAGGGACTCAGATCTGTTCACCTAGGATATATCGCATCACGAAAGGAAGAAAGAACAAATTGTCCAAAACCTGGCCACCATGGGGCTGAGACAGTAGACCCTGTGACTGCCGGAGTTCTGCTTTGTTTAAGAGGATTGTCGGAGCAAATAGCTAGACAACGCATAACATCATGGCAAAGGTGATTTAGTCTGTGTGGTCTTTTTTCCTAGATAATAAGAAAAAGAAGGCAAATCTCTTCCTGAACACGACTCTATTTGTGTTTGAAACATCAGTGTATTTTGCTGAGTCAAACCCTTCATTAACACGGGAAGCATCTCAATATTTTGCTCTAAGCCTACCAGTTAACTATAAATCTGATTCCTAATTCAGGAAAACTGAAAATTACAAGTGTAAAATGAACACAGAAAATATCATTGAATTTGGCACAGGTGCTATTGATACATCCGCTTTGCTAAGAGGAGAAAGAATTGAAAGAAGCAATAATACACTTCAGTGAGAATAATTTTAGAAGACTTTGGAAACATTCTGTGAAACTCTTGGATAAATGTGTGTTGTGATGGCATAAAACCTTCTAAGAAAAGAGAGCATTAAACAAGTTTTAAAAATGACTTTCCTCTTGAGATTTGTAGAAATTACTCTCCTTCCTTACATGCTCTGAAAAAAATTCACAAACATAAAACCCTTGAGTTCTTACATATAAAAATTTAGCAAAGATGGGGGGCCAGCCAGGTGGCATAGCAGTTAAGTTCTCGAGCTCTGCTTCGGTGGCCCGGGGTTTGCAGGTTCAGATCCCAGGTGCAGACCAACGCACTGCTTGTCAAGCCATGCTGTGGCAGGCGTCCCATATAAAATAGAGGAAGATGGGCATGGATGTTAGCCCACCAAAAACAGGAGGATTGGCAACAGATGTTAGCTCAGGGATACTCTTCCTCACCAAAAAAAAAAAAAAAAAAATTAGCAAAGATGGAAATAAAATACATGTACTTATATTTTAACGATGCTCTACCAATCTTTGAAAGAATGATCAAATAGCAACTCACCTTTGCAATTTCCTCGATAAGCAATTTCTAACTGAGGGTCTTTGCATTTGGCACGTTGAAATTCACAGCGAGACAGGAAGGTTCTTCCGTCAGAGGCACAGAGAGGTTTCTGAGGAGAGCCTCCGCAGTCCAGGCTGCAGTCTTTGTCCTTATCTTGGTCAACTCTCAAAAACTTGGGGGAGAAAAAAAAGAAGGCAGACAAGTGTAAAGAAATGTGCAGAGCAGCAGAAAACAGAAGGCGTCTAAGGCCACTTCAAGTCGAGGAATGGAACCGCTGCCAGAAACATCGTGGAAATCTCTGAAAATTCTAAGCCATTGTCTGTTTCAAAAACCTTGGTAAATGATAATTCTCTGTCAGTGTTTGGTGGCTGAATCCCTGAATATGATACTAAATGGTGTGTGACTCTGTTTAAGTCTGTAACGGGATGCGTGTGTACTCTGTTTTACCTTTCATAGACTAGATGTGACAATGCTTTTCTTTTAATTTGTAAATTCAAGTGCATGTTTTGCCATCATCTTGGAAGTTACGAGTGTCAGGAGTCCGCTGTCCACCTGGAATTGGGAGATCGTCTCTCCTAATTAAACCTACCTCCAAGGAGCTGTTCGTGTATTACCCATGTGGACTAGTTTACCACTTTCTGAATAAATGCTTGTGCTCGGGAGGAAGCTGCTTATTTCTATGACTTGCCTCTTACCACTCCACGCTTGGCACGTGACACCCACAGCGCGGAGCGGACATGGAAGTCAGGGCCTGACCCCCAGGACTTCAAGGTAATGCAGGCACCGAGACTACCCGAAGGAGCCCATTGAGACTGCCCCAGTGGCCCCCACGCCCTGCGGTTCCTGCTACCACTGCAGGATTGCCGTTATTGCCTTCGCTCCCTCTGACAGCCTGGACACACAGCTTCAGAGCTAAGGGTGTCTCCAGAGAGGTCTCAGATCCACACCTGCCCTCCTTGAGGACGGACAGCGCTCCCTGCCCACTGCCGGACTTCCCAGCCCGCCCACGCGTCCCAGCCCCAGTCCTGCCCAGTCCTCCGTCGTGCCAGACGGAGCAGCGAACGTGAAGGCGAGTCTCAGGAAGCCCTTGGACAGCTTGGTCCCACAGGACGAGTGAAGTCCTCCTGGCCTTGGTCACTGGCCTATCGCCTGCCCACAAAGGTGTTTTCTCTGCTTTATGGAGCAGTAGCAATTCATTAAAGGAAAGAAAGAAAGGAAAACATAGAAAGCTCAGAGCTGCAGTTATTACTAAACACTCTACAGGCCTGTTTGGTCCCTGCGGGTACTGTTACTAAACGCTCTGCAGGCGTGTTTGGACCCTGCGGGTACTGTTACTAAACGCTCTGCAGGCGTGTTTGGACCCTGCGGG